TTAATTTCCTCTGTGACCCATTGGTTATTCAGAAGTGTGTTGTTCAATTTCCATGTGTTTATGAAATTTTTTGAGTTTCTTTTGTTATGGATCTCCAATTTCATCGCACTATGGTCTGATAATGTACAGGGGATAACTTCAATTCAGAGGATTGCAAGTTTGATCCCTGGGTGACTTAGTGTCTCAAAATAAAAAAGAGATGAGGATGTAGCTGTGTGCAAAGGCCCTAGGTGTTTAATCCCCAGTTATTCCTGTTATTGGAGTTTTCTATTGAGTTTTGAGGGCCTATTCTGGCTGTTTTGGGTGATGGGAATGAGTGATGGGTGTGAGCAAAACTAAACAAAAGGCATTACTTTTTTCCCCCTTTGAGTTGCCTCCCTGAATATAATGAGCGAATATAAATTTACAGAATATTGGGTTTCTTTGTGGCATTTTCATATATATGCATATAATGTATTTTGATCATATTAGTCCTCCATTATCCTTCCTTTCTCTCCACTCTCTCTTCCCCTTGATCTTGTTTAGTAGTCTCCCTTCTACTTTCATGTCATCCTTTTTTCCCCTAGATCCTACATATTAGGAGACATGTACAGTACTCTGAGTGTGGCTTATTTCACTTAGCATGATGTTATCCAGTACTGTTTTCCTGCAAATGGCATGAATTTATTCTTGAAACATACAAACGTTTGCCCTGGAGGCATGCTTCTTACAGAAGGGTTCTAGTAACCTGTCTGTGTAGAAGCAGGAAGGAGCCTTTAGTTTAACAAAACTAATAATAGAGAAATAAATGTGCTTTACATTTAAGCTCATTTAGAAATTTACACAGTGCTTAGAACCTGAGATTATACTTTGAGAGATATTAAGATAAAAAATAAATTCTGTTCAGTTGAAAGATTTATAACACTGAATTCTAGTCTCTGTAATTTCATTTTTACATTTAAATAGTGGGGAACATTGTTTTGGTCATTTGTCCTTTTTTTTTCCCCTGAGACAGCATCTCCCTTTTATTTCAGGCTGGCCCTGAAGTCACTATGTAGCCCATACTGGCTTCGAACTCATGGTGATCTTCCTGCCTCAGCCTCTGAGTATTGGGATTACAGGCATACACGACCATGCCAGGCTCCTCGTTTGTCATTTTAATGTTTTGATAGTCCCTTCTTCCATCTCTGGTAGTTGTAGCTTGTTAGCTTCTGATGAGGGGACAGATTCAAACCAGGGCTCCCCTCTTTTTTTTTTTAATTGAGACAAAGTTTCAAAATGTAGTCCAGGAGGGTGGCTTTGAACTCATTATGAAACCCATGCTGGCCTTGAGTCCAGAATCCTCCTCCCTCTGTTTCCTGAGTGCTAGGAGGATTATAGGCATGAGCCACCATGCCCAGCTCCTAAGCCATTTTTTAAAAATTAAGTTTCTTAGGAGAATAACTGATGATTAAACCTAGGTACTGGGAATTAAACCTAGGGCCTTTGCTAATCTAATGGTTACATTATGATATATAGTGACTCAATATCTAATTTTTGAATTGATACACCCACAATATGTACAGATACATTATTTCCCATTTCATGTCTTAGGTTGCCATATTTAAAAGTTTAGAGAGTTAAGATTTGTCATCCTGGAGTATTAATATGGGTGCATCTATGAGTCATAAAACAGCCAGTATTTATCAAGTGCTTATTACTACACCTAGTACTGCATGAAGCACTCGTAAACATGGACTGAATTTCTTTTTCAGAGTTAGGTTTGTTGAGATATAATTTATATATAGTACAGTTCACCCTATTTAGTTTTATGTTATATGAATTTTAACAGCATTTACAAATTGTATGTCCAAGGGCTGGGGATTTGGCTCAGTGGTTCCGCCGGCTGCCTTGCAAGCGCAAGGACCCAAGTTCAATCCCAGTACCAAAAAAAAAAAGCAAATTGTATGTCCAGTACTACTACAGTCAAGATACAGATCATTTGCATTACCCTAAACAATTTTCCTGTTATCTGTGGTGGTTAACCCCCTCCCCTTGTCCCCAAATCCTGGCAACCACTGATAAGATTTCTGTCTCTTTTGTTTTGCCTTTTTCAGAATGTCACATAAATGGAATCATGTAGTATGTATTTTGAGTGTGGCTTATTTCATTCAGAGTAATGCTTTTAGATTCATCCATGTTGTAGCATATATCAGAATCTTATAAACTTTTACCTGTTTTTTTTTTTTTGGTACTGGGGATTGAACTCGGGTCCTTGTACTTCTGAGGCAGGCGGCAGAACCACTGAGCTAAATCCCTGGCCCCTTTTACCTGTTTTTTGATGAGTAGAATTCTATTGTATGGATATACCACAATTTACTTTTAAATTCATCAATTGATAGACATTTGGGTTTCCAGTATCAGTAATTATGAATAAAATTGTTACAAATATTTGAGTAGTTTTTTAGTGTCTTCCAGAATAGCTGTACTATTTCCACTGACAATGTATGAGAGTTACACTTACTTCACATTCTCCTTAGCACTTGGTATTGTTAGTTTTTTGGGTTTGTTTTTGGTGTATTATATTGAACCCAGGGCCTTGCCCATGCTAGGCAAGCACTTTACCACTGAGCTACATCCTCAGCCCTGTTTATTTTAAGCTGTTCTAAATGATGTACAGTGGAACTATGACTTTAATTTTCATTTCCCTATTAAGTGTTGATATTAAGATCTTTTCATGTGCTTTTTTGTCATCTGTAAATCTTTGGTGAAGTGTCTTTATATCTGACCGTTTAAAAGGGGTTATTAAAAATAAAAGGGTTATTTTCTTATTTTTGAGTTGTGAAAAGTTCTTTACGTACTTATTTTCTTTAGATACTAATAGCGGTACATGGATTTATTTTAATCATCACAATAATCCTTTGCAGTAGGTACTATTAGTCTATATCATAGAAAAAATGATGGCATAAGATTAAGTGATTGCCCAAAATTACACAGTAATAGGTAGCAGAATTAGATTTTGAACCCAAGTAGATTGTAGAACCTGTGCTAAATCATTTGCTTATTTTTTTCCTTGATACACTACTATGCAGGTATTGATTGGGGGAGGTACTGTGAATAAAACTGGGATCCAGTTTCTGTAGTTGGTACACTATTTCTAATAGGTATATTGCAGAGGAAAGGGGCAGTATGTGCTCGCTTCGGCAGGACATATACTAAAATAGGAAAAGGGCAGTATATTGAAATAATAAACTTGGAATCATCTCCTTAGGAATACTTGTTTGAATGGAAGAGGGGTAATTATTTGTACTTTAAGTCTCTCCTGTGTATTTTTGTTTTGTTTTGTTTTGTTTTTGGTACGGGGGATGGAACTCAGGACCTGTGCTTGCAAGGCAGGCACAGCGCAACTGAACTAAATCCCTGGCCCCTCTTCTGTGTACATACGGATGATCAAAAGTATTTATACTCCAGATTTACTTATTATTAAGTAATGAAGTGACTGAGATGAATGTAATTTTTCAGTAGCAGAGCTCATCTATTAATGTATCTGTACATCATAAAAAACCCTAACAAACTTGATGTTGTGTTTGAAAACCTGTACCATACTAACGCTGATAGCAAGACACACAGTATATGATGATATACTGAGGGAATATGCACAACTTGTTGGCATTACAGAATGGCTTCAAATTCAAGCACTTTTTAAGTTATATGTAGTTTTATAAGGTCTTTTTAAAAAAGTCTTATTATCAACTCTATTGTTTGTTCTGATTGACATCTTTTTACTATTGCCCTTTTTCATTCTTTATAATTTGTATTTCTAAAAAGCTAAAAGATGATATTAGGCATGCATGGATATTTTCCAAAATAAGTTTCAGCTGTAGGAAATGATTTGGGGGTTTTCCAGTGAACAGTGGACTTCCTTTGACTGCTCAGAGAACCTTGTTTCTTGGTGTTTGAATTCTGAATAACTGGGTTAAATGTGACATTTGACTATAGAAAAAGTAATGTATTTTTGCATAATTTTAATGAACAGTTTGTTAAACCATGGAGATTATTTCAGTAAAAAGATAAACAGCAATGTTCAGTGGAATGGAATAAATAGGCAATTACTAACGTAGGTTTATAGTCATATTTTTTAGCAGTTTGGGAAGTTCCTAAGTCAGTGACAGCTTGTTCTCTCATCTGTGTCTCTAGTAAAGCAGAATAAGTACTCTCAAGTAGTTAACTAAGGGAAGAAAAATCTTGCTAAATTGTTTTTACTCTGCTGCTATGATTTGGAAATAGTTATATACTATAATTGCATTGCTTTTTTATGGAGTTTTATCAAGCTTGAAGTTCTTTTCAAAATCATTTTGCTAATTTGGACTTTCTACTATGAATTTTAAAAATTTTATAAACCATATTAATTCACATTTATTTTTCCACTGAACTTTGAATTTTCTAGTGGATTTTATCTATTTAGAGAAACTCTAAATCTGCATCTACTATTGCAGTTTGCTAGCTTTTCCAGATTACACAGCAATATATTCCTTTCATATAAGGGTTAATGAGTAGCCAGATAAGACCCACCAGTCCATTGTTACATTAAAAGCCACAGTTTACTGTCTTCTATCTTCTCTCATCCTTTTTGCCATTCATAGTTGGATTTATTTGATATATAAAAATTAGTTTTAAAAATTGAGGTTTTATATTTTAAAACAATATACAGTATTTAATTTTGCTTTCTTGTAGATTCTCATTCTATTTATTGTTAATTTTAAATTATAGCAATTAACATGAGTTTATTAATGGTTTAATCAAGGATAGATCTTGCTCCTTTGATTTACCTCCCTCCTTGTCTTGTTAATCCCCTTCCTTCCTTTTTTACCTTTATATTTGTATGTTTGACCTAGCCCAATAATTGGGTCCACAGCAACATGGGCGTGTCTCCCTTAGAAACACTTAGTTTCATGTGTGACTCATAAGCTGAAGCACAGACACCACTTCCCCAATCTACCGGAGCCATTTTAACAGCATAAAACTTGCCGGATTGCTTTTTATTTTCAAGCCCAAAAGGTGAAATCTAAAGAGAAAGAATGTTTGAAGGTAACTTGTTATGATTTTGTATGTTTGCTTCTGGCTTATTGTTGAACTGATAAACGGAGAGTGGTTCTTACCTGCCAAAGAACATGGCCGAATGTGTTCTTTAACTTGGATAAAATGTGTGTAGTCAGTCACATGCCTGATTACACTTAACTATTAGAGGGAAACAAAGCATTCAAATGCTGGAAAGTTTTAGATCTTCTTGGTAAAGCATTTTATAGGTATGTGATTGGTATTTTTCCCCCTGTATGAGTTAAGAATAAAAGAGATTTTTTTTTTGTTATACAAAGCAAACTAGGTTAAATTTTAATTTAAAATGTAATTGTATTTATGGGAGCAACTAGGAAGTAATAATTAAGTAAACTGGAATACTCATGTGTGATGTGGATGTTAGAAAATTAAGAGTGGTGACTTTATTTTTGGCATTTTAATTAAGGATGAAGTTTTGGCATAACTCAGTTATAGGTATTGCTCATTGATAAGTCTATCCTTTGTTTTCTACCTTTTTAAAAAAGTGAATTACACTAAATATTTCATTTTGAAAACTAAGCAATCATTTAGATAAAAAGTGAAAGTGCATATTAAGAGGGAGAAGGACTAGAATGAATCATTTACTATTAGAAAAAAGTGGAGCATTACAATTCAGAGTGGAAACCTGTTTTGAATAATAACCTTAGAAGCAAAGTTATCTTATAAAGAAACATATAACTATTTTATGTAAAAAGGAAATGTGGAGTATTGATCTTTCCTGTACCACTGCTTTTAAGACAGTCTTTGTTTTTTTTTTTGTTACCGGGGATTGAACTTGGGACCTTGCACTTGTGAGGCAGGCGGCAGAACCCCTGTTCTAAATCCCCGGCCCCACTACTGCTTTTAAAATTTGATTGTTTCGAATAAAAAATTTAAAACCTTTTATAAATGAGAGAATTGCTCAGTCTTTTCCTAAACTATTTATCATCATTGAAATTGTGAGATTTTGGCCAGCAGATATACCTTCTAGAATACCTTGAAATTCTAGGTGGTCTGAGAAGCTGAATACAATAGTGTTTTACTTTTGAAACATATTCATGACATTAAAATTTGAATGAAAGTAAAGTTTGAACCTGCAGTGATTAGGAATAAAAGTTTGGGAAGTAAGATTTACAAAGTTATTTATTATTAACCAAAATATTTATCTACTTCTTTGCGAATTATTAACTTTCTAAATGCTTGAAGTCCTATCAGATTTGAAAAGGAAGATAGAAAACTAGTCTGTTATTATTTCTTTCTTTTGAAAGGAATTTTGATATTAACATCTCAGTTACGTGGTCTTATAAGAAAGGTACAACAGACATTTTGCCAATTCAGCTCTGAGCCATTTGCTATCATCTTCGTGTTTGTGTATTGCTGGTTTAGTCAGCCTTTGAGGAAGCAAAGGCTGTATTTACTTCAAGTCTGGACTGTGTGAAAAAATCCAATGACACCTTTGTTCCTTGGGTGTTTTTTTTTTTTAGTTTTTAGTAAAGAGAAATCAAGAGGTACACAAATAAGCAACCCCTTTTTAAAATTGGAGTAGAAGAATGTAGTTTCTTAAGCTGGTGCAATTTAAATAAAATATACATTTGTCATATATATCCATTTCTTGTGTGATAAAATATTAAAGTAGGGCTTTAAAAAGGGAGCATCGGAAAAAAAATGGAAAAGAAGGTCAGAAAGACTTATTGTATAGCCTTCGTCCCCAACCAATTCTTTTCCTTCCATAGCTTGAATGGAAGTTTACACTGAGTCATCAGAATTGTACTTAGAATTCTTGATTTAAAAAACTTTATTGCTGAATGAGACTGAAGATTGTCCAGCTGCCTACCTTTTGTAGATGACTAAACAGTGGCCTAAAGTGTGCTGTTAGGTAGGGCTTCCAGTCCTAGCTCATGCTCCTTTATCCCAACAAGTGATGCTTTGTTTGAAATGGCCTGTATTTTCTTAAGAGTAAATAAAAGCTTAATTAAGTTGTTTGGTGATGATTTTGATGATAAGAGGCAACCAAATGAGTTAACCAGTGGTTTGAAAATGTGTCCGAGGTACAGTAGTTTCTTTTTTCTTCAGAGAGACAGTGTATTTGTTTAACTTCTACAACAGCTTTTTTTTCCACTATTTTTTTTTTTTGGTTTTTTTGATAGTTGAAGCAAAGTTCATGATGCTGCTTGTCTGTGTAAGTTGGTCCCGTGGATATACAAGTTGTTGGGAAGTTGTATTTAAATTTTAGAATACAAATACAGGTTTGTTTCCCCTTCAGTTTTACTTTGTATTTTTTAGAAACACAAATACTGTTCAGGATGACACCTTTTCTACTGAAGTATATGTATGCGTGTGTGTGTGTGTGTGTGTGTGTTTGAAACTTTGCACTAGTCTATAAAATTTACAGATATATATTACACATCTTAAATTTGACCTCATAATTAATAATTAGTAATTTTATTACATTTGTCTTTGTCATATCCCCTTTCCCCTTCTTTGAGAGCTTACCATATATATAATACATAGTCTTTTTCTATTAACTTGTTGATATGTTTTGTTGGATGGTTGGAAATTTACTTCAGATCTGCTTGTTCTTTATATCTGCAATTTGGATTTTTATTTTTATTTTAACTTTTAAAATTTTTATTTTAACTTTGAGTATAACTTGTTGAACATCCTACATTTCTGAGTATTCAAACCCAATTCATTTGTCAGATTCTCTACAGCATGGCCATCATTGTCCTAAAGCAACAGTATAAAGGCTAGAAGCATGGCTCTATCATCACATACTTAAATTCTTGTTGGGAAAACAGGGCTCGGTAACCTATATTAAATAAATAAATAATGGAATGAAACCAGTGATTCAATTCAAATTGACACTGTTTCTTGAGATAAAGATGACAAATCTAAAAAATAGGAAAGTTAAAAAAATAAAATAAAAAATAGGAAAGTTTATTTTGAAGGAATTATGAGTAGTGAAGAATGGATTTGCATTTACCTAGGTTAAAAAGAATGATAAAGATCATATGAAGGCTGGGAATGTAGCATGATAGTAGGGTGCTTGCCTAGCGTGAGGCCCTGATTTCAATCCCTAGCATAACACACTTACATAAAGTCAATTTTGACAAAGTACTGAACACATACGAGTAGACAGGGATTATTTACTGCATCAAATTCAGCTACTCTTTTTGCTATATTATATAACAGATTGAGATGTTTGGGTCTTATGACAAGTTAAGAGTGGAAAATCTTTAAAAGGCATGTAGCTGTCAGTTTCAACTCTAGTGTCTATATGTTATAGATAAAAGAAAAAATTAAACTGGGTGTAGTGGTGTACACCTATAATCTCAGCTGTTCAGGAGGCTGAGACAGAAGGATTCCTAGTTGAGGCCAGCCTGGGCAGTTTACCAAGATCCTGTTTCAAAAATTTTTTTTAAAGGGCTGGTAATATACTCTATGCTTCCTGTGTTCAATCACTAGTATCTTAAGAAGAGGAAGAAGAAAAGTATACTTTTAAAGCAACAATAATCAACCTTTGGTGTAACAAAGAGCCACCTGGCTTCAACTCAGAGATTCTGATTCATTAAATCTAGCCTAGTTTTTAATTTAATAATCAGCATTTTTATAAGTAACCTAGATGATTGTGATACAGGTGCTTATAAGGCTGTATTCTCAGAAAGTTTATAGGCTTAAGGCTGTGAGGAGTGATAAATTGTTATTTAGCATTTTAATTAATATTTGAGTTTTTAAACAGCAGTGATATTTTGAAGCCTGTAGCCATTCCTAAGGAATGAAGATGACAGAATGCTTTATTATCAGTGTTAAAACCTATGTAGCCTCCTTTTCCTATCCTAGTTATCCCTTCATTCTTTTTTTTTTTTTTGCTGTGCCTTTCAATTATGTCTCTCCAGTTTTCCCTTTCTGTAATTTTGCTTTTTCCTCACTCTTCACTTACTCCTGTATTGACCATGATGTATAATTAAACTAAAAAAAAAAATTAAACTGATTTTTGTTTTTCAGTATAGTTAACTTATGTATAAACTCTTCAAATGTTAGTACTTTTAGTTCTAGTTGGGTGCTTAATGGATTATCCATTGCATCCTTGGGGCTCTAGGAACTGTTATTGATATAGAGTGGCATTTATAGTGTTTAGAAAACTTCTTTCTTCAGAAACATACTATGATTATTTGTAATTATTTGAGAGGAAGTTATTTATTTATTTATTTATTTATTTATTTATTTATTGGTATGGGGATCGAACTCAGGACCTTGTGCTTGCGAGGCAGGCACGGTGTGGAAGTAATTTTTTAAAAGCCATATGATGCTTGGCTATGCATTTTGAGGCTTCTTGGAACATATGTTTTAAAAGCATCATTAATTGCATATTTGTAGCCCTTCGCTCACATCCTGTCTAATGAATTCTGGTTAGGTGTTCACTGACTTACATGAATTGGAAGAAGAGTCCTTCCAGCTGAATGGTCTGAAAACAGTTATTGCTTCCATCAGTTAAGATATTTTTCTCCTTTATTTAGAATATTTCATTTAAATGGTGGAAATTAAATTAGTAGTATTTTTAGTTAATTCAAATGATTAGGGCAGTTTTTAACCATCTGAGCAATCTGTTTCTTCTATTATGGCAAACCCACCAAATGTGCTGTGTACTATAGTAAATATGACATTCTGGTTATGGTTCTAGGCACCACCCCGTCTGCGCCTTAGGAGAAAAATATTACGTTGTATACTATTTGCCTTGTTGGCAGAGGGGTAGAAATTGATTCTTTCCCAGGTATAAATATGTGAGTTAATAGCATCATCATCATCAAGGACCTATTCCTGACCTTTCCTTTTACTTTCTCTTTCCCTCAGAAGAATTCAGAACTCTTCTTTCATTTGCCCTTTAATTGCTGAGTAGTTGACTATCAGCTCTTTTTTTTTTTTTCACATCATGTACCTTGAAATTGATTGCTAATCAAAAAATCAGGTGTGGTGGTGTGTGTCTGTAATACCAG